GAAGACAAATTCCTGACATAGCTGGTAAGACAGCCTACCCAGGGATGTGCCTCACTAGTTCTGCTGTTCACAGACAGAGAAGGACTGGTGGAAGATGTGGAGATTGAGAGCTGTCTTGGACAGAGCGAGTGCAAAATGTTAGAATTCTTGATTCTTGGTGAAGTCAGGAGGGAGGTCAGCAAAACTGCTACCTTGGAATTCCAGAGGGTGGACTTTGAATATTCAGGATGCTGGTAGAGAGAATCCCATGGGAGTTGGTCCTGAAGGATGAAGGGATCCAGGAAGGCTGGAAGCTCCTCAAGAAGAAAGTTTTAGAGGAGCAAGAGTGGGCTGTCTCCCCATGCCATATGATGAGCCAGCAGGAAACTGGTATGACTGAACAGGGGTCTTTTACTGAGGCTCCAGGGAAAAAGAGTCTACCACCTGTGGAAGAAGGGACAGGTAATGCAGGGAAGAAACTGTTAGGATATGCAGGGAGAACTCTATAAAGACAAAAGCTTGAGTTCAACCTGGCCACTGGGGTAAAAGAGAACAAAATACTTGTTTACAAATATATTAACAGTGGGAGGAGAGCTAAGGAGAATCTCTAACTGTTACTAAGTGCACCAGTGAACGTGACCACTGAGGATAAGGAAAAGGCTGAGGTTCTCAAAGCCATCTTTACATCTGTCTTTGAAAGTCAGAGCAGTTATCCTCTGAGTACTCCACCCCTGACCTGGAAGTATGGCGTGGGGAGAAGAATAAGCCCCTCACAATTCAGGTGGAAACAGAGACCTGCTACTTCACCTGGACTGCTGCAAGTCCATCGGATTGGATGGGACCCACCCACTGAGCAGGAGTTAGAAGAGGTGATTGCCAATCTGCTTTTCACCATCTAATAGTGTTCCTGGTCAACCAAAGAGGTCTCAGAGAATTGAAGACTTGTCACTGTGACTTCCATATACAAGAAGGATCATAAGGAGGATTCAGGGGAACTACAGGCCCATCAGCATGACTTCGGTACCAAAGAAGGTTATGGAACAGACCATCTTGAGTGAGATCACATGGCATCTGTGGGACAACTGGGGGATCAGGCCCAGCCAGCATGGGCTCATGAAGGTAGGTCCTGCTTAACCAGTCTGATCTCCTATGATTGAGTGACCTGCTGGTGGATGAGGGAAAGTCTGCTGATGTAGTATGCCTAGTTTTCTGCAAAGCCCTTGACACTGTCTCCCACAGTATTATCCTATAGAACCTGGCAGCCCATGGCTTGCACAGGTGCACTCTTTTTTGGGTAAAGAACTGGCTGGAGGGCTGGGCCCAGAGAGTGTTGGTGAATGGAGTTAAATGCAGCTGGTGATCATATATGACTGATGTTCTCCAGGGGTAGGTATTGGGGTTTGTCCTATTTAATATCCTTACTGACGACCTGGGTGAGGGGATCAAGTGCACTCAGTAAGTTTGCAGATGACACCAAGTTAGGAGGAAGTGTTGAATTGCCTGGGGGTAGGAAGTCCCTACAGAGGGATCTGGACAGACTAAATCACTGGGCTGAGGACAAAGGGATGAAGATCAACAACACCAAGTTCTGGGTCTTAAACTTTGACCACTTTGACCATAACCCAAAGCAACATGGCAGGCTTGGGGCAAAGTGGCTGAAAGACTGTGTGGAAGAAATGGCCCTGGGGTGTTGGTTAAACATGGCTTGGCTAAACAGGAGATAGCAGTGCACCCAGCTAGCCAAGTAGACCAATGGCATCCTGGCTTATATCAGAAATAGTGTTGCCAACAGGAGCAGGGAAGTGATCATTCCCCTGTGCTCAGCTCTGGTGAGGCTGCACCTCAAGTTCTGTGTTCAGTTTTGGGCCCCTCACTACAAGAAAGACACAGAGGCTCTGGAGCATGTCCTTAGAAGGGCAGCAAATCAGGCCAGGGGTCAGGAGCACAGTTCTTACAAGGAACGGCTTGAGGCAACTGGGATTGTTTAATCCAGAGAAGAGGACACTCAGGGGAGATGTTATTGCTTTCTACAATTACCTGAAAGGAGGTTATAGAGAGATGGCGGTCAGCCTCTTCTCCTGCATAACTAGTGATATAACTAGATGGAATGGTCTCAAGTAATTCCAGGGGACATTCAGGTTGGATATTAGGAAAAATTCTTCTCTGAGAGAGTGGTCAGGCACTAGAATGGGCCACCCCGAGAAGTGACAGAGTCATTGTCCCTGAAGGTGTTCAAGAAATGTTTAGATGTTGTACTAAGGGACATGATTTATTGGGGAGATATTGTTGGTAGCAGGGTGGTCAGACTAGAGGATCCTGGAGGTCTTTTCCAACCTTGGTTATTCTGTGGTTCTATGAATTTCATGCCATTTAAGGTATTTTTTCTACTTGAACACTACACTAGTATTTTAAAATTTTACTACAGATTTATAGAAGGCTACATTTAGAACTGAAAAAAATACTTCTTTTCTGATTAATTTTCATAAGAATTCTCCTATTTCTGTGTCTTCTACTCACTTCTTTGTCTCCCTCCTGCCCCTTCTCTTGGCTGTGGCAAGTGTACCTTGCCTTAACATGAGAATCTTAATGAATGCTCATGAAGATTTTTTAAAACTATTATTTTCATAGGATACATCAAGTCCAAGAAGCATGTCTGTACATGCAGACATTTTTGTTTAAAAATGCCTAATATTTGAAGTTAGTCATAGGCTGAATTGAGCTTACCCTATATAATGCACCGATATTTTCATTGCAAGGGATGACATCATTTAAAACGTGCTTTTGATACTGGAAGTAGAACTGGTTCAGAGGAGGCTGAAACTGGGAGCCTCTCTACTGAGTTCAGTAGACTAAAGATCACGTCCTTAAAGGCACTCGGTTCACATAAAAAATCTCAGAAACTCTCTGGTGCAGAGCGCAGCATTAAGAAAGTTGCATATATGCAGCAAGCAAGTCAACCTACCTGCATGTTCTACAGTCCTGCAAACTGCCCTTAGTGTTTATTTGTTTAAGGAAGAACAGAATTGTCATTGTACCAGTTTGAAAGTTGGATACCAAGACCCCTTCACTCAATAAATTAAGGATTTCTGATGTGCCAGAGGCTGAAAAGCCTCTACTTCACTTTGACTTCTTGTTCCTACTAAATTGCCATTCACTTTTCAGCAAAACTAAATATCCTTAAATAAATATTTAGGTGCCAGCAAATGATGAGAGCAATAAAAGAAGTTAATTGGCAGCTGTTGGCTGCAATACTCAAGCAAGATTAAAAAACTAAACCAAACTAAACTAAACTAAAAGAAAGGAAAAGAAAGAAAGGAGAAGTTGTGGTTTTCTACAAGTCCTGTAGCTGTGACAGAGAGTAACTTTGGGCTATAAAATAAAAAACCCCTCATGTTTCGTTCCTGAGCTTTTCTGTTGTATTAACTTTTTCTTATTTTACTTTTTTTTTTTTTTTTTTTTTTTCTATTTAAGCTACCCTCTTGACTTCAGAGCAATACATCTAAATGTCCAGTTTCATGTCAACTTGCTTGCAACACTGTACTGTACTTACTCGTAGATAATGTTCACTCACACCAACAGTGAGAAAGCTCCCAGTGATTCCTGTCTGTAGAATGGACAGCAGACTATTTTGAGTCTTTTTCTGGAGAAAAGGAGATGTGTTGACAGTGTTGCTCTGATTAACAGGTAAATGAGGAGAGAACAATGGAGTGGCCTGGGGTGGGTTATAGGATCGAGGCATTGGAGAAAACATAATTTTCTCCAGTGTTGGGAGGAGGGTGGAATAAGAAGCATTGGCACATGGGGAGCAGGATGGAGAAACTAAGTGTGGAGAAGGAAGAATAAAGCCCCTGCAGCCCCCTCCTCATAGCTGTCGGGCCTCAATTAGCAGCATGCAGACACTGTTGGAGAGCTCTGTGGCTGACTATGGGCAGCCGAGTCCCGGATCCCAACTCCAGCTCTGCAGCCCATTAAACTAAACCATTAAACTCAAGAGAATGCTACATGAACATTTTCAGAGGACAGCTCCAGAAACTCTGCAGGAGACAGCTGTACCCTCGGTTTTCTGTTTCTTTAGCCTTTTAGTTCTGTCCACAGAAATGACGATTAGCTATATATATATATATACACTAATCCTTTCTTTGAACAGTACTAAATTCTTGCCTCAATCCCTTCCTGTGACCAGTAGTTTAATTAAACACCATGTGAGAAGGTATTTCATTGAGTACCTCCTTGTTCCAATGTTTTTTAGACAGAGCCCCACTTTGAGGAAGACTTATAACCTCCAAATCAGCTCTTTATTTAGAATATATACACAGGCTTTAGAAATGCTTCTTACTTTTTCCTTTGAGGCTTTCTCGGCAATATAAGCACAAGTTAAAAAATTAATACAATACAATCTGAACTATGTAAGAAAGTTTTGTTTTGTTTATTTAATTTTTTTTTTTTTTTTTTTAAATTTATTGCTTGGCTAACTGAACACAGTATGAGCAGGTACCTGGCAGAAGATACCTGAGTTCTAATCTCTGCTCTGTTACACTTCATTTTAGGAAAGCTCTTCTGCAAATATGTGAGTCTCTTCTGCCTCCGTGCAGTAAATAAAAATGTGTTTTTGTAAGTTGTGGATCAGAAGAAACAGGAGAAATCAGTTGGTCACGCAGACGAAGACTCGTGACTGCTTATCCCTTAGGCATTCAACAGTTTCAGCTCCTGCAGCACTAGCCCTGTGTTTGCATGGCTGTGTGGCTGCCCAGCCTGTTACTCTGTATCATCCATCAGTTATCGATTTACTCATATATCTCTGTAGCCACAACTGATTTGAGCTACTGAAACACTTCACAGTCTGTCCATTGCAGAAATATAGATTTATGTTTAACAGAACAACGAAAAAAAGCCCAACCTTTTTTTTTTTCTTTTTCTTATTCTTCTTTTTTTTTTTTTTTTTTTTTGGACGATGCTGCTGTTAAGTTGCTGTTTGTTGTTGGTTTTTTCTTTTAATTTGCTTATTTATGTGGGTTTTTTTGTTTGTTTGTTTAACAAATTATTATTCTTGATGTAACTTTCATCAACAGTTGTTGCCAGAAGACCTAAAAATGAAAGTAAGAAACATAAATCTTAAGTCTCCAGGAAAGGATAGGACAAAGAGATATGATAATAAGACTTATTGAGGTCTCTATATGAACTTTTTGCCATATCACCAGTGACACAATCTATTAAAACCCTTTGTTAAAGTATTAAGGGCACATATTAATGAGACATCAGAAGAAGTTAACCAACTTGAGGCAGAATTTCAATATTATAAGTATTTATCTAGCTCCATTCCTGTATCTTCCAAGACTATTCGATGAGAGCTGAAATGTGTCCAACATTACATTACGAGTTAAGCTGGATAAGCCTGCTCCTATAAGCTAAATTCAGGTGTGAACTTGCAACAGTAAAGTAATTGTTGTGCACATGTGGCAGCTTGTTCTGCTGTCCATACCTCTGATTAATGAATATCAGTCCAATTGAGCAATGGACTTTTCCAAAAACAAACTGTACAATCCTTTTTACAGAATCAGCAGCCATTGTGGGATTTGTATGATAATCTAAATAGCTTGTTTACAAACAAATGAAAGGATCTTAACTCAATATAACTCCACTCATTGTAGTTTGTTTTAAATAATAAATTATGCTTGTTCAAGTACATTGCTATCTACCTCCTTATTTGACCTCAACAAAGACAAACACGTCTGAATGGCCCACTCTTGGGGCCATATGAGAAATAAAATCCATTTTCCAAAATTCTTTTTCTTAAGAAACTACAGGAAAGTAGGACAGGAAAGGGGCATTGATAATCTGTGAAAAATGTAAGAGAAAAACTTGTTATTATACATCAAATAGAAAGAGCTGGAGTGGATACATGTAATCTTCATGCCTGGTTCCTTTCCATGGAGCACACTTGATAAAGAATGGCATTACAGTACCTGAAAGAACAAGATGAAATTGGTAGAAAGAGTGTAAGGATGAGAATAGCATCTGGGCAGATGATTGCTTGTGGTAGGTATGGCCAACTGGAAGCAGAAATCAGTTTTGTACAGAAAGATAAGGACATTCACTGAAATGAAGAAATCTGTTTCAAGATAATATCATAGAATCATAGGATGGCTTGAGTTGAAAGGAGCCTTAAAGACCATCTAGTTTCAATCCCCCTGCCATGGTCAGTGTCATCACCCACTAGATCAGGCTGCCAAGTCTGGCCAGGAACACCCCCAGGGATGAAGTATTCAGACCTTCCCCGGACAACTTGTTCCAGTAACAAGCTACCCTCTTGGTAAAGAATTTCCTTCTTAGTATCTAATATAAATCTCTGCTCTTTTAGTCTAAACCAGATGTGTCCTATCCATGGCCCATATATATATATATATATATATATATATGTACATAACAAGTGATTCCCAAGCAATTCCTCACCATCCCCTGACTGATGCACAGCTCATCCCCCAAGCAGTGAAAGAGAGTGATATAAACTCTCGCCCCCTTCGAAACTCCTTCCTCATGATGTCATATGTTATGGAATATCCCTTTGGTCATCTGAAGTCAGCAATCCTAGTTCTGTTCCTCCCCAGCTCCTTGGGCCCTTCATTGAGAATTGCCTTGGCTCCGTATGATACTGCTTAGCAGCAACAATAAACATCAATGTGCTATCAACATTGTTCTTCTCCTGTAACCAAAATATGGCAAAATTAGCTCAATTATCTCTGACAACAATTATCTCTTGAGAACTCAGTAAAAATAGCAACCACTTCCATTGAACCAGACATTGATGCCTTGGTTTCACAAAAACAGGGTCAAATATTCCACTAGTTTTAGAAGTTTTGTTATTAATATATATTAACTATATTATGTATTTTATATTCCTCTTCACTCAGTGTGGTCCAGGCAAGCCAAAATATTGGACACCCATCATCCATGGTTTAAACAATTCTTCCATGTCTTATCACTAATTGCTTGTGTAAAAAGTCAATTTTCCCCCTGTTTTAGAAGATCCCTTTATTTACCAGAGAGCCACACTGAGGTCTTCCTGGAGCCTTCTCTTCTCCAGTCTAAACTAGCCCAGCTCCCACAGTCTTTCTTTGCAGCAGAGGTGCTCGAGCCTTCTGATCTCTGTGGCCCTCCTCCAAAGCTCCATATTTTACTTGTGCTGGAGGTCCCAGAACTGGATGCAGTACTTTGGCTGAGGCCTCATGATGGCAGAATGGAGAGGGACAATCAACTCCCTTGCCCTGCTGGCCATCCACCTTTCATTGCAGCTCACAATACAGGTGGCCTTCTGGTCTGCACTTGCACTCAGCTGGCTCATATTCAGCTTTTCATCCTACAGGACCCTCAAAATCCTTCTTGGCCAGGCTGCTCTCAATGAGTTCTTCTCCTAGATTGCCCTGACACAAATGTAACACCCTGAGCTTGGCCTTGTTGAATCTCTTTAGGTTGTCACAGGCCCACTTCTTGCAGGAATAACACAAGCCTGGTGTAATAATGGCTGGAATAGGTATTATGACTAAAACACAGCTGCTGGAAATACTTGCTATTCTGAAACTACATATGTAATGATTGAAGTAATGGGTAACCCTGTACTTTAAGAGGGCTAACATAGATAAACAGGAAAACAATAACAACAACAACAACAACAACAAAACCACAGCAACAACAGAAATACACCCAAAACAACCACCTCTGCCTCCACCAGCAACAGAACACCCTATGACTATTTATCTGTTCACCAACATTTCAAATGAAAATGTGAAAAAATCTGGGTTGCAGACTGGAGTCACACTTTGATGTGAATAAAGATATGTGGAACAGTAGTACAGACAGAAACACTTCAGTTTTCTGCTATTTTGAAATACTTTCCAAAAATATGTCGGAGAATAAATTCTACCAGTGTTGGGTACCACAGGTTTCTAGCAGAAGTATCTGACTATTTTATTACATGTCTCCTTTTGTAAAACCAGCAAAAGGAGATTTTGTTTTGGCAGGTATTTGGGGAAATGGCAGACGAGCTGCTCAGAGAACTAACCTTAGCTTGAAGTCTCATGATTCAGCCCACCACAAGTTTATCAGAAGAAGAAACAAAATGGAACTATAAATAAAGGAGAAATTTCAATGGATTTAAGGAAAAAAATAGTGACAAAAACTGGCCTGGGAATTTCTATGATTTGAACATGGAGTAAGCTTAGGCTATTTTTAAATCAATGCACACAAACTTATTTGGAACTTGTCTCAGACTGCTGTTTGGAGAAGGACTGCACAGTTCATCCTATCTCAAAACAAATATATAATATCATAAGTAATCAGTGATCCTAAAAAATATTGAGAAAATGTTCAATCTTTGGAAAAGATCTGTCCAAGAAAAGATGGATAAATGTTGGGCTATTGAGAGAAGTTTGCAATCAATTCTTTCAGAAAATTCAACTGCATTGAAACAAACTACAAAGGGCTCCTCAGCCATGTGATTAGAAAAGAGAAAAAGAAAAATGAGCCTTAAAGTTCTTTGCTTAAAAATTAAGTAGGTCTAAGAAAACAGGGCAAAAACTTTGCCATAGTTTTCAGTGAATGTACAGGCCATGACTGCTATACAAAAGGCAGGAGGAGAAACAGAAAAAGATTTTGACAATGTAAAGAACATGGAAATAGTTTTCACATTTTCACATTTGCACATTTGCTGTTCTTCAGTGTGATGTATTAAGTATAGGAATATGTTAAGGTCTTGTCTAAGGGTTGAGAGACAGGAAGTATGGAGATATTTGAATCTTTTTTTACTTGGTGTGGGGCAAGCTTTCAGAAAGGAATAGCACATTACCTGATAGAAAACTTTTGTAGGGATAATGGCAACATTGACATTAATTTCAGCAATGTATTCCCCAAAGCATGGATAAAAGGAATCACCTGAAAGACAAGCTGCTTAAGTAGAGTGTAGTGAAGGAGAGAGAGAACAGCCAGAAAGCCATGGATAAGCACACACTCAGAGGAAGATGGCTAAGGCCCATGAACAGTCAGCTCGATGAAGGTTTTGCAAAGTTTCTCACTTGAGGATACTGTTTTTTTATCAGATGGTCAGTATAGAAAATATGTATTGCCTACCTGCAGCCTCATTCTGACTGATGATCCATCCTGTGTCTACTTAGACTTTCTCTCTGGTGGGGTCATGGGAGTAGTTTGCTGTGACAGTCACAGCTGAATTTGTCAGTCAGGCTCACAAGTAGGGGAAGCTGCAGCCAATCTCAGGAGTTATGCAAGAAGGTTGTGTCAGGGCTGGGGTCACGAGAAAGATGCGCCTTTGTGACAAACACACAATGGGGATTGCCACATCGGAGGTGGAAGCAAAAACATTCTTGTGCGCTCATGAAAGGATCAGCTTTTGGACTGATCTCTTCAACTATTTTCATGAATAGTTTTGTCACAATAATAGAAATTCACAGGAATGCATAAATCAAACTTTTTTTTTTTTTTTTTTATGAGAATCTGGGACATTGCCAGTACAGCAAAGGATCAAACTGTCACACATGAAGAACTGCACTGACTATGAGGATAAAAGAAGTGTAATGGGTCATGCACTTATGAACTAATGATAAAAGGTTTCGGAAAAACCTATGAATCCTCCATTTGGAAAAATCTCAGGAAAGATTGAAAATGCTGGTCAGTACAATGTGACAGAGAGCCACTGCATGTGGCTGTAATGGAAAAGACTGCTGTAATTCCATGATAAATGTTTCCAGTAAAAACTGGAAAGTGTGTGACCATTGCTTAGAGGGCAGAGGCAATCTTTTGGTTTTTAGGTTTTTTTGTTTTGCGTGTGCGTATAAAACTTTACACTCTTCTACGTATCCATGTTTAAAAGAGAGGGATTCAAACTGGGACAAACACACAGACCCACTACTGATACAATTTACTTGACATGGTGAGATGAGCTGAGTCCCACCTGGTCTCATACTCTTTCTTGTGCTCAGACAACTGTGTGGTAAACCATAGCAAAAGAGAAGCGACAACTTTTGAGACAGAATTTATCCGTACAGAATTTTAGGGTGCTGTTCTCAGGATCACATGACATGTAAAGATATGTTGTTTAATTTCCTTTCTAGGATAGGTTGGGTACTATAGTACTCCAGCAGACAACAGCACAGTGAAATTGTGTCTGCACAGAAGAATGACAAAGATTTCTGTTCAGAGTATGTACACTGCCAATTATAAAAAGTGTAAAAAGGTTAATGTCCAGATTCACAAAGGAAGTTAGGTATTAAAAATCCTCAATTAGCAGTATGTGGTGGGAGCAGTTTACCTGTGTAGATCATATTTGACTTCAGCTTGACAGACTGATGAAGATTAGCAGCTCTTCTCTGAGCATGGTCCTCAGTTCCAAAGTACTGCCTGCATGAATGGAGGCCACAAGAACTCTGGTATTAGACTGCACTCAAAATTGCCCAGAATTTCAATTGCCCAGATGCTTCTGACAGGACACACACGCCTCCTCATGGACAGCACCTCAAACACTTAGCAAGAGTCATTTATATCTTTGCAATCACAAATAAGTTCTGGTGGATTTCTCCTTTTATGAAATGTGATGGTGGCTGAATTGTTGAGCAATAACTGGCAGGTCTGTGATGAATACTTTTTCAGCCTGCTGCCTTGGAGAAGGATTGTCTATTGCCTAACACCATGAAAGAGCAAGGGTCATGAAATTGCTGCTTGGAAGCAGTATTCCAGGTGCAACACAGGTATACCATGTGAGGTCTCACTGCTACAAGTCACTTGGCATGCTAAAGTTTAGCAGAGTTCAAAAGGTGTTTGGACCAAATGCATGGAAGTGAGGCCCTGGCCGGGTTTGCATTTAAGACAAAGATAACATTTGTTCGTCAAGAATTTCCCTGGGATTCCCGTGTTCTGGAGCACAATTAAGCTAGCTCATAACAAAGAAAACAGTAAAAACTGGCATCATTTCCTAGTCTTACAGGATAGACTCCTTTTCCTTGCTAGGACAAATTTTACTCTGTGGATGAACGTGAACTTCAGATTAAGATTACCAGTAACATCAACATTTTTAAAAGAAACATGTAATAGCAATTTTTATGAGTTAAACAGTTGCATCTAATGACTTCTAACATCTTCAAGAAGATCAACATTTATCTGCAAAAATTTAAACAAAATCTTTTTTCTCCTAAAATTAACTTTCTGTAGGTAGGCTCTTAATTCTATGTCTTTTATTCAGACAAGACACTACCACTTCTATTTTTTGTATTTTTTTTTCTGGATAGCTGCAATCTGTATTTATAAAGTCAGGCCTATATTTTTAAAGTCTGGATGATTCTTTCCCACTTAAGGATATCTCTTATTTAAAAAAAACAGCTTATGATGCTTGTAACTGGAGAACATATAGATATAAAGGCAGTTTCCCTCTCTGCATTATGGAATAATACTGTTGCTTCAACAGTATAGTTTAGTTAGTTGTTCACAGCTTGCTTTTTAGCCAGGTTGTGTATGCAAATGTATTCATGAAAGAGAAACCACTCCTACAAACAAAATATATTTGTAGGGTTGATGTTATCTTGTGCTTCATAAACAGTGTAGCATGCTAACAAGCACTGACAAGATAAAAAGAGTGTTCATAAAAATGTTTGGCCTGGGAAAGCTGTTTCTGAATTTAAAAGCTACCTACTGTCATGGCACTACACGCAGACTTTCTGAAGCAGCACCAGCCGCATTTTCATGACCACCATCAAGTACCCATGTTAATTATGGAATTTTTCAGGACAGTGTAACTGTGGTGTAAGCACCTTCACAAATGCTGAGCTTCTTGCAAACACTGTCAATGAGCAGATGCTAGCTATTATGTACCATTTGAAAGTGTGGCTGTGGTTTAAAAGATAATCAGAGATCATATACTAAGGCAGTTCAATTTATGGTTGTTAAGTGCTTGGAACAGTGGTTCCTTATATGAATATTAGTATGTTTGCATCCAGAATTTTTTTCTCACAGGCATTTTATAGGTGCAATGATGGAAGCGTGATGAATAAACAGAAGTAGTCTGGCTTGTTTGTAAATGCTCTATTGGACTTTTTTCCTCCTTTGTTCATGTTTTTCATTCATCCAAACTCTAACTTTTTAACATTAGACAGCTCTGTAACATTTACGTTGAGTCACAGTAAAGTAACCCCATCTTCACTGACCCAAGCAGTAGCTTTCCTGTAAGTAATCTATTGTAGTACTCAGTGGAGACTTCTACACAGCACCCGCAGCTCAAGCTAGCAGAAATTTCAGGTGCTGGACTATATTATGGTATCATAGCATAAGTGTCTCCTCACTGCTGTAGCTTAAAGCAGGGTTTTCTCTGAGACAGAGAGAACTTTCTTTGAGAGCCATCTCACAATCAGTTCTGCAGACATTAAGCATGGTATGTAAAACTACGGCATGCCTCGGACTGAGCTAAAAGACTACTGTGTAAATAATAGCAGTAATGCTATCTGTTAAGATATAACTCCTGGTACTGCAAAAGGCCTATTCCTGCTTTATACGTGCAGCCCACGCAGGCTGTTGTAATCTGAGACATAACATCTGGCTCACAAGCTTTTTCTTTTCTAAACTGAAAAAGAAAAAAAAAAAAAAAAAAGAGAAAATCCAACCTCCCTAACCCCACCCCTTCGAATGCCCATGGAAACGACCAATAATTATCTGCCTTCTTAAAATTAGCCAAGTATCACTTGGTTGTGATTAAGCTCATTTCAAACTTGTTCATCAGGAAAAGCCACTGTTAAATTCCAAGCAATGCTTCTGGTGAACCAATTCAGCATAGAATAATAGAAAAATACATTTGTTCCAAGTGCCTTTTTCGCAGAACCTGACATTCAAGTCCGTTATTTCCTCTGTCTCTCAAACACCCATCAGACTTTGTTATTCTATAATCCTCAAGGTTGCCCCATCTCTTTCTCATGCCAGAGACAGCTTGGGAGGTAAGAAGCTGTACTGAAAAGAAAATGGATCAGAACCACAAAATGAATCCAAATATAGACCTTGTTTTCTTATTTTACAGCTGACACAGATGTATTTTAAAACAGACCCTTCTACAAGAAATATCCCATTAAAAAGTTATTTAGAGCATCAAATATTCTGCATGTTTTTTATGGAATTTTTTCTTTTGTTTGCATGTTCGTTTATTAACTAAAATTTTCCAAGGGATTATATAAAGCATGAAGAAGAGCATGTTATTTTCTTCAAAGGTTTTACAGTCTAAGCAGGCAGGCAAAGCACAAAACCAAACACTAGCCCAGATGGTGCTGGAAATTATGGTCACAGCTTTATTACTTTGAAAGTGTCTTAGACTTCTGTGTGTTTAGCTAAAAAAAAAAGAAATCTGTATTGCATTTGGTCATTTTAAGAGAGCTGTCAGGTGCTGAAAATTAGGCGCCTATAAGAAATCTTGAGCTGGACCACTAAAAACAATTGTGCCTCAAAAATTTGGTCACTTTCAAAAGATACATACAAGAATTTTTTATTTCCTTTCACATTTTTAAGCTTAATTTTCTGTTTGATAACAGGGGATCACAGTATTTTAATTATACTGTCTGACAGCTGTGGAGCTCTCAAAAAATGTATTAAGTTTGTTCAGGAGCAATTTTTATTACAAATTAGCTTCCTCTCAGTCCAAATGTTAGTGCCAAGAAGGCTAACTTTTTTTTTCATGTCAGAGTTTGAAGATGAGTTTTTCCAGAGCCAAAAAGGCCATTAAAAAGGGAATTACTACAGAATACAAAAGCAACCCAAAGGAGAGATCTAGAGAGGAGAATAACATGATCTAAACAACATGGGCCTAGGATTTCACAGTTGAATAACAGTTTAAATCCCTAAAGACTGAACCGCAGGCCCTGCCCTTTTTCTGCTATGCATTTTCTTCTTCTTCTTATCTTATTTACAGCTTCAGTGGATTCTCTCTTTCCAGGTTACAGTTGTATCAGATAAGAAGGTCTGCTTCATATTCATGATAGATTTTTATTAATAATGAAGTTTCCAGAACTGAATTAAAGTCAACAGCATAATTGTATCTGGAAAAAATATATAGTGCATCTTCCTTCTATTTTTAATTTAATTAATTTGTAATGCGGACAAAATCTCAAGTGTGAATAATCCTCCTTCCTTCATTTTGCA